TTGTTTTCTCCTCCATACTGTTCATCTCTGCAGATAGATAGATCTGCAGAGACAAAATATGCACTAAAAAACAAGGCATAGCAAGACAAAGTGACAAAAGAAACACAACAATGACAACAAAAAAGACAACCAATAACCCATAAAAGAATAAATTAATTTAAAAAAAGAAAAATGTTTAAAAGAAAGAAAAACCTGTAAATAGATCAAGATCTGATTTTTCACCTCTAGGAGTGTCCTTCAGTCAAGTCCGATGGGGTACCACGCTCTGGCCCCAGAGTCTATCCTTTGGACTCCCTTGGGAGCTCCTTGCTCTGCTCTCCACATTGCTCTGCCGCACGCCTTTAGTGGTTTGCCTCGGTGTCGTGGGGTCAGTCTGGGCCAATCCCGACCCTGAGTCTCCAGTGTTGTCCCCCGTAGGGTCATGGGTCAGCAAAGGATGTTGTGTCTCATAGTGGGATCAGCCATATGGTCCACTCTGTGCATTTGCTGTTCAGAGCGGGGATATTGTCCTCTAAGCCTGGTGGGCCAGGATGTGCTCCACTCTCTCTTCCTCCCCCTTCATTTGCTCCCATTTGCTCTGATCAGATAAGTCCCTCTCCCCTAGCTGCAGCTTCAGTGCCATCCTCTAAAGTAAATTCCTCTGGGGGGAGGGGCAGTTGTCCATGTAGGTGGTATGGGAGCCAAGCCCTCAGGCCCCTCCACTGGCTCCTGTTAGAAATTTTTAAGGTCTAATTCAGTGATCTAAAATTTCAAACACAACCAGTTGCTGACAAATTGATTCCTGACACATAGCATCAGAAATCAACTTGGTGATATTTAATCCAATCTGTATATCATCCAAAGGAGCCCTGTGGCACAGTGACTAAGTACTGTACTGCAAACTGGAAAGTCAGAGGTTCAAACTCGCCAGTCATTCTGCAGCAGGAAAATGTGGGAATGCGCTTCTGTAAAGATTTTAGCTCAGGAAACCCTACGGGGTAGTTCTTCTCTGTCCTGTGGGGTTGCTATGAGTTGAAATCAACTCAACAGCACACAACAATAACAAGGATAAAATATGCCCCTTGTCCTCAAGAACTTCACCAGCTAAAAAAGAAAAGGAACTATACAAATATTTAACTATAGAACAACTTAAATGCCACTGGCTTTCCAGCTTCCTACAGCCAGACACAATGACCTCTGGAGGCATTTTATCTTCTACCCCCTTCCCCCAGGCCATGTTGGATCCGTACCACCTATACTAGTCTCAAATGTTATAAAACCTCAGCCATATTCAAAGAAGGCTGGTACTGGCTATATCCATTGAGGATACCGTATATTCAGCAAGTCCCCTTAGGTGACAAAGAGTGTCTGACTGTCTTTTAGAGGTACCACACACAAGGCCAGATACCTCATCACCCATGGGTTTAACTGTAACCCTGATTCCTCCCCATTCCCAACAGGAAAAATAGCACTCGTGTTTGCTGCAAGGCCATGTAGTGATGTCATGTACTGCCAACATCACGTGGGGAAATCAGCAAGATTGGGATTTGGTTCCTTTATACAGAATAAAAGATAGCCTTCCCCATCATTTATTATGAAAACAAACAAGCCTGTAAACACACATTCACTTATTCAACAAATACTTATAGAACAATTTCTACACCATTTTTCTAGTTGCTAGATGGCCAGCAAGAAAGGCACCGTGTCCCTGCCCTCCTGGAGCATGGGAATCTAACAAGAAATCCCACTTGAATGCGGGCTCGATTGGGGTAGGGTTGGTTTGTTTTTTCCTGTATATCGTAGACACCCAGAACAATGTAAATATTGATTGAATAGTAAATGAGTTGTTGATGAGCACTAATTACAAGGGTCTAGGTGCAACCAAGGAAAATTCAGGTGTTGCCAAGGACATAAACAGGCAGCCTCTGGGATCACGTAAAATTAGTTCTCCAGCAAAAGAAGCCCATAGCTCACAAAGCCCCGCATTTGGAGCAGCTTGCATAGGAAACCATCAGTTCCTGTTTGCTCTTCAGGCAGCCCTCTGGCTCTTTGGAGTTGGGTTCACCTTGGATTTTTCAATATTGAATTCTATAAAGCTAGCAGTTTGATAAATTGCTTCATGATACTATGTGCTCATATAAGCAAAGAAACGTCACAGCTTAACCATGTTGACTCATGTTTTTGTTTTCTTCCCTGCCCACTCTCCCACCCTGTTTTCCTTTCCAACTTGCAGACGAAGGAGCTTCGATGCACCCTTGCGAGGACACGTACTGTGGACCTTTCCCAGAGTCCGAGCCAGAAGTGAAAGCTGTAGCCAACTTTCTCCGAAAACACAAAAAGCACATCCGGGCTTACCTCTCTTTTCATGCATATGCCCAGATGTTACTCTATCCCTATTCTTACAAATATGCTACGATCCCTAATTTCAGCTGCGTAGTAAGTATTTTACTTTTATATGGGTATCTGGCTTTGAGCTTCCTTTCTAATGTTAAGAGGATTTTGAATCATAATCACAATAGCAAAAACATAGGCTAGTTTACATATATTCATTCATTTATTCTTTATACCAATCTTGTGAGGTAGGTACATATTATCATCTCCATTTTTACAGCTGAGGAAACAGACTCAGAGACTAAGTAATTAGAGTAAGAACACAGAGTTTGAGCAATTCTACTGTCGTCATAGAAAGGACTCAACCCCAGGTCTAGCTCCTGAGTTGTCGCTTTTAACCACTGTGCTTTGCTGCCTCTCAAATGCAATCATTCCAAACCTATTACATTCTCACCGCAGCTTATTCTGCAAAGGTCACGATGGATTTGATTAGAATTACAGCTTAGTCACATATGCTGGGCATAATTAACTTTATTGAGTAAATAATTATTCATAGATTATAGTTGGACTCTCATTAATTAAAAGCAAGTTTTCATTTATAAGCACTCTTTGCTTAGTGCTACCAAGTCTCCGGGCATGTGTCTGACAAGTTAGCTGCTAAGACTGAGCATGAGATTCCTTGAAAATGAAACCAGTGAGTTCCTTTCTCTCCTCGTCTCAAAGACCCTGCTCAGCCCCATAGGGCAGAAGGGTGTCTCAGAGCCTGTACATCAACCTCTGGTCCCAGGGTGGCATACATAATTTAGCTCGATTACGAGCTGAAAGATTGGTAGCTTGAACTCACCCAGAAGCATTTTGAAAGACAGGTCTGACAAAATGCTCCCAAAAGAACCCAGCCTTGAAGATTTGAGAGAGTAATTCTACTCTGCTAGCAGAGGGAATCCGCGCCTCAATGGCAAATAACAATAACAACCTGGCGACTGAAAGCCTAGGAAGTTTAAAAACAGGCAGACCTAATAACTTAGGTTATGTCAGGCTACTAATGAGCTCTGAGGAGGAAGAGTGATTGGGAGAGGGCAAAAGGGTTTTCGAGGTTGCTTTTAATGTCCTATTGACCTGAATGAGTGCATTCGGTGTGTGATAATTTATTAAGCCATAATTTTTTATTGTGCACTCATCTGTATATGTAATACTCAATTAAAAAGTTTTTATTGGGGAGAAAGCACTCCCTTTCTCACTATACTTTAAACCCCAAATTCTCACCAGTGACTTGGGTTTTAGGAATTCTCTGCATCTTCAAGATAGAAAGATGGGAAGATGGGGCATCCAGAACAGAATCTGGAAGAAGACTTAAATCTAGCCAAAAGGGGAGCTTTGTTTTTGGCAATCCAAGAAAAGATTGTGAGCAAATTCTGAGAATCAAGATTCTGAGAATAATGTAAAAGTGGTCATTTACATTCAATAGTAATATCCTTTAGCTGTTATCTGCTGCTGTCAAATAGGCATTTGTGGCTGTAGTTTTTGACCTGATAGCCACATAGTCGGCCCTTTCTAACCTGGGGACAGTGGTGTGTGTGTGTGTGTGTGTGTGTGTGTGTGTGTGTGTTAAATCCAAACTCATAGCAACCTTATGTACAACAATATGACACACTGCCTGGTGCCTTGCCATCCTCAAAGTCATTCTTATGTTTAAGCCCATCGTTGCAGCCACTGTGTCATGACATCTTATCCAAGGGCGTCCTCCTTTTGGCTGACCTTCCACTTTAGCACGATATCTTTCTGTATAGAAACTTCCATATTTTACATCTATCTTTCCCACAAGAGTTAAACCAGTTTTCCACTTGCCTTGGATTGAGTAATATGACTAAGAGTAGGTCAGTTGTTCACAACTGAGGGTAAGTTTGCCTCCTCAGAGGAAATTTAGCAATGTCATTATCATAACCTGGTAGGGAGATACTGCTTGCGAAACATCCAACAATGCACAGGACACCATCGCAACAAAGAATTGTCCAACCCAAAATGTCAACAGTGCTGATGACTAGAAACTCTGGGTTTGACTGAAGGGGAAAAGGAAAGAAAGAGATGATAGTTCTCAGAAATTGAGCTGTCTCTAATGTTAATCTGAAACAATTATATTAAAATTATTCCAAAACCTTCTGTTGATATATAGATGTCAATGTTTCTGCTAGTCATAAGATTGGCAGTTCAAGCCCACAAGTCTCCATGGGAGAAAAGTGAGGATGTCTATCTTTGTGCCTATTCTGCAGAAAGGTGATCCCACAGAATGCTCAAACAGTAGAACAATATCATTGATATTGTACGCAAGTAAAATCTTACTGAAGATTATCCAACAATGGTTGCAGTAGTACATTAATAGGAAGCTGTGAGACATGCCGGCCGGAATCAGAAGAGGACATGGAACAAGTGATGTCATTGCTGATGGATCGTGCCTGAAAGCAGAGAATATCAGAATAGATATTTACTTATGCTTTTTGTATTTGCAAAGGCATTCAACTGTGTGGATCCTAACAAACTATAGATAACCTTGAGAAAAAATGAAAATTCTAGAAGACTTTATTGTGCTCATGCAGAACTTCCACGTGGTTCAAGAGGCAGTTGTGCAAACAGAACGAGGAGCTACTGAATGGTTTAATATCAGGATAGGGTTGTGTCCCACCATCATATTTATTCAATCTGTATGCTGAGCAAATCATCAGAGAAGCTGGCTTATATGAAGAAGAAGCTCGCATCAAGATTGGAGGAAAGTTGCTAACAACCTGCAGATTCCGCAGATTGCACAACCTTGTTTGCTGAAAGGAGGACTCGAAGCAGTTGCTGATTAAGATCGAGGAGAGCCTTCAGTATGGGTTACAAAGTAAGGTTAAGACATCATGATAAAGAAAAGGTTGAAGTTGTCAAGAATTTATCTTGCTTGGATTCACAATCAATACTCATAGAGGCAGCAGTCAAGAGATCCAAAGATGTGTTGCATTAAGTAAATCTGCACAAGACCTCTTTACAGTATTGAAAAGCAAGGATGTTACTTTGAGGACTAAATTGTGCCTGACCCAAGCCATGGCATTCTTCATTGCCTGATAGACATGTAAAAGTTGGACTTTAAATAAGGCAGACTGAAGAAGAATGGATGCATTTGAATTGTGGTACTGGAGAAGAACACTGAAAGTACCATAGACTGCTAAAAAGTCAAACGGATCTGTGTTGGAAGAAGTACAATCAGAGTACTCCTTAGAAGCAAGAATGGTGAGACTTCATCTTACATACTTTGGACATGTTACAAAGAGAGACCAGTCCCTGGAGAATGACGTCATGTTTGGTAAAGTAGAGGCAACAATGAAAAAGAGGAAGGCCCACTCAAGTACTCCCTCAACACAAGAATACTTTCTTCTATTAAATTGGCATTCTATGATGCTCACCTTCCCGACACAACCGCTGAAGACAAAGCG